GGAAGGACTATAGTCGGTGAGTGACATAAGTCAGAAGGGTCGTAGTCGGCTGGCGACGGAGGTCGGAAAACTTTAGTCGGTGAGTGACGTAAGAAGGACCGTAGTCAGCTGGCGATGGAGGTCGGAAAGATTGTAGTCGGTGAGCAACATAAGTCAGAAGGACCGTAGTCGGCTGACGACGAAGGTCAGAAGAACTGTAGTAGGGTAGAAATCTAGTAATGTATACAAATACAACATCAGATAAATGTCCTGCAAAAATTTAACGACGGACAGAAGTCCGGCGTCGGGTAGAAATCTGATAACCAGTGGAGGTCTGACGTCGGGTAGAAGTCCAACGTTAGTTGGAGCCCGAGGAGAACTTCAGCGTTAGATGGTATTTAGGAAGAACTCCGGAGTCACTTGGAGTTCGGGTGAAACTACGGTGTAACTTGGAAGTCAGGAGGAATTCCAGCGTCACTTGGAGGTCGGGCGGAATTCTGGCATCACTTGGGCGGAGTTTCCGGCATCTTCTCCTCTTCTTCCTTCATTCTTACTTGGTCTATTTATAGATTTTTTGAGTGGCATGGCCCATAAATAGATGAGAGATCAGAGGCGAATATGGAGTGGTTCAGATGAATGGCCGATATTGAATCCTTTGATCGTAGACAGTTTATCAAGCATTTGAACGTCTTAATGACTTCAGAATTTGGCGATCTTGGGCTCGTTGGATTCTTCTAGTCGAGCTGCTCGATTCGATTATAAGTCGGTCATGTTTGGAAACCGTTTGGTAACCCAAATTGTGGTTTGAACCTTCCAACAGCACTTCGGGTTCTTGATTTGGACTCATTTTGGCTCGGATTGAGTCGAATTTGGTGTAATTGGGTTTGTATTTATGAGACGCTCAATTTGACTGTAAGTTTACGGAAATCGGAGTTCAGGTAACCCCAGATTTAATTTTTGAAATTTATGGCTTGATTTTTACCTCAAGATTCGTGCCCGATCAAGATAATTTATTGATAACATATCAAAACTAAATGTATAATCAAATATCCAAAAAATTAGGTTCAAGAAAAGTCAGCCCAGTTCAAGCTAACTTGGAGTTGTTCAAGCGAAGTCGACCCAATTTGCTATATCTCAACTATATAGAAAATTACCTCAAGCAGGTAACTATGACTTATGAACTTGCTCTAAACAAATATGTACAACCTATCAATTAGGCCCTAACAACTACTCAAGTGGGCAAGATATTTCATATGAAAAATTGTTGATTGGTTATTCGACTATTTATTGACTATATATATATATATATATAAAGTCAACAACTTCTTATTAGCTAATGGACATGTTTTATAAGTTGAGCATTCTAATTGTGCTAGATAATTCCTAAATTCATATCTTAAATTTTATATAGTTGTATATGTAGCTAGTTTTATGATGCTCAAGCTCTAACCTAGTGAGCTTAATCTTTACAATTTTATGTACTCAACAAAGTCCTATAAAAGGTCATGGTTGGATACCCATGCTCTAAGCTGGCGGGCTTCGCCCACTCATGCCAACCCATGGTGACTTTTGGGATATCAAACCCACCCATACCCATCAACTTTCCACTCTTTTTAAACGTAGTTCACCACAGTGCGATGGCTTTATGGCTTGTTGCCCTTGTTATGATTGCAAACTTTCAAGTTGCATATCAAAATTTACCGTAGTCACAGCACGGTTCAGTGATGCACAATGCATAGTGAGATTTACAGTAATATACGATATACGGTGATTAATAATGTAAATTAGTTTTATTCCCCAATATTAAGTACCCACCTATATCCATGCACCCACGAGGCCTCGGACCACTGCAAGAAAATGCACTATTAATGGCAAATGGAATCCACTAGTAACAATCAAAATACATCAGAAATATCATCTTTCCACACATTTCCGATGTAAAATTGTCTGATGGTAATTTATGCATTGTAAGAAAATATTGGCGTAAATTTTTTGCCAGAGATATTTTTGGCGGTTCTTCCGACAGAATGCCAGCAAAAAAAGACCATTCGACGCTTTTATCGTTGATGTATTTCAGCATAATATGCATCGGTATTTTCACCGGATAGAAGACACCAAAAATACCGACGCAAAATCAACCGGTATTACTAGTGCATATTTTCGTCAGCAATCGCGTAGTATCATATTACCAGCGTTGTTTCTGGAAGATTATCCGCCGGAAACCTGTAGCGTAAACAAAAAATAATATTAATAACATTCCTCCTTTTAAAACTGATTTCACAATTAAACCTTCATAAAAATAATACAAAAATACTATATACATTTATACAGCTACTTCAGATAAATAACATCACCAATTACATTATCAAATATAACCAAGAAAAATATCATCAACAAATATCAAATACTAAAAAAAGTCAAGATGTCCAATAAACAAATAACTAAACATGTCCAAAAACACATAAATATAGATATCCACATCAGTAAAATAAATAACATCTATGACTCTAATTTTTGTCTCCTCCTCAGTTGATGCGCATAAATCTAACCTTATATTTCTTGATTCTGAGGCAAAGGTGGGATGTGTAATAAAACATTCTTGTGAGATATATTATTTATGTCATCTCATATCTGCAACAGATCTCATGGATGCTTATAACTATTATAATCTATGAATTATGGGTAAGTAAAATAACCTATTTGTTGGTACTTACTTCAACTTTCTTTTTGTGATAGATTTTGGTTTAAATCTCGATGAGTTGCAATAACGGCATGCAATATCTAAATTGATCATCTTTATAGAATAACATGCATTCATTGACACAATAATTTATCTTTGTGTATGTCAAACCAAGTTTGAAAATCAACTTTTTAGTTCGATAAAAATCTATATGAATTATGTTATCTACTAGATTGGTTTCTTTGATCAGTCAAATAAATTGATTAAAATATTTATGAGTGACATTATATTCTGCCTTGATGCTTAACATCTTAACAGTAATGGATAAATCTTAGTGAGTGGTGCATCCCTTTCATATTGATTGTTGGGAAGCATGCAACAAATCATAAAAATATCATTCTTCTTTATTATGTGACTCTTATGTATATTAATTGTTCAAATTTTGCTCCGCTTGCATCATGAATTAAAACTCATCAAGATTAAATCGAATATTTTCTTCCTCATATATATTAGTAACTGTCAATAGGCCGCATCGAGAATCGAAATGTGGTTCATACTCACTATGAGAAGTTTAATACCAATATTCTGGCATGAAGCCTCGGCAGTACAAATCAACAGTTACATCATCTGGGTTAAGGTGCATCTGATTTTTATGTTTAAAACATGAGCAATGAAACTTTTCATTTGAGATAAAGCTGGGCATTTAAGAATTTGTTTAAATTAAAATATTCACCCATCTAATGAACTCATCCGTTAATATCTTTCGTCCTTGCACCAATCAATTATACATCCAATTTATGTGAGTTCTGATATCCATAATATAACCTGCATATAATATGCATATATTAGATAATTTTGTAATATTTATTGAAGAAAAATACAAATAGTCTTAACCTGCTCGGAAGGCCATCATTTTAAGTGACCAAATCATCCAAGGTGACATTCTCTAATCTTATCTTTCACTGGAGCTACTCCAACCTTCTCACATATATATTATTTTTATATCATGTCTATAATCAAATATGCCCAATACATTCCTCTACGTCCACACAACAACACCCAATGCATTCCTGATCTACGTCCACACAACAACGCTCAATGCATTTTACTCAAATTCATGATATATATATACACACACAACAAGCCCAACGCATTCCTCTACTTCAACCATCAACCTTGAATTATACTAATAATATCCCCATTTATTTCACCATAACTCTTAATAATGTATATTTTTATTAATGACTTGATCATCAAAAAGCACAATCCTCTCATTAAAACTATTTTTTTACAAAAATTACACTCCAATATACCTCTCTTGCAAATGTATAATAAGAACATTCAAACTCAAGGTGATGAGTATACCTTCCCTTATCGGTGGCGTTCGGGGCTGCTTTTGGCGAAAGTTGGCGAGGGTTCGGTTGGGGGAGCTCTTGGACGCGATGAACAAGTGCTCGCCGGTTGGATGTCGGGGTAACTCGCGAACTTGAGCGAAGGGAGGCCGAATTCGGGGCTTTGAAACTTAGCGAGGAGAGGGGCGATCTCGCAGCGCCGGCGCAGCTGTTGGACGCACAACAATCCTCTGACGCGAGAGAGAAAGAAATGAGAGAAGTCGTCTTGTGGAGGTCGAAATAGGGCTTTAATCGACGCAATTTCCAACGTATTATCCACCGCAGAATAAAGATGCCGGAAATGATTCGTCGAGTTTAAGTAAGCTGGCGCACTATGCGCCGGTAAAGCCGTTGGTATCTACTGATGGAAAATGCTCCGTACAAGTAAGAAATGTAGGCGAAAAGCCAGAGGAATGTGCATTGGTATCTCTATGACGGATATTTTGCCGGATAATGCGCCGTTAAATTACCGGCGAAACTTCCGCCGGTACATGTGCCGGTATTACCGCGTAAAAATCTTCTGTCATAAAGTCCGACGGTAATGACGCATTTTCCTGTAGTGGGCATACCCATACCTAAGTGATTGGGTGTGGGTACCAAATACGTACAGGGCTCTAGTACTCAAACTTATTTCTCGATCTAGAATCCTCTCTCTCCCCCCTATGATTTGGTGTGATTCTATAACAATTTTAAATTAAAGTCAAAGGTATTAATCGGATCTCTAAAGAAAAAATGGCCAATTAGACACTTTTTTAGCCTCATGAGTTACTTGATCACGAGTAGATAACGTGCATGATATTAATGCAAGTATGAAATAATAGACCAGTAAGGGCATCAATCTTTCTTTACTTCTCCAAAGTCTTTTGACTATATATATATAACAGAAGCTGTCAGGGTTTGCAAGCAAAAGTCGTGGTTCATTAATTTCACATAGTAGAGATTGGTAGTTGATGGATGCGAGCGCATTAATTCTAATAAAAATTATGATTTTCGTCGGCCATCTTCCCATGCAGAAAGCATTATATATAAGTCTGTGCCTCCGCTTAGCTCAAATCACTGAAGCTGAGAGTCTACTTCCCAACATGGGAAAGAGTAATAGTTGTGGAAGTAGAATCTTCTTTCTCCTTGCTCTTCTGGCCTCCCTTCTGTTGGCTTCCTCGGCAAGCAGGAAGCTTTCAGCGGGTAATGGCGGCCTCGAGGAGCAGAAGTGGTTCCATCATGGTTTAGGTGGGGCTGGGGGCGGCTTTGGCGGCGGAGCTGGTGGGGGACTTGGGGGTGGCGGTGGGCTTGGAGGCGGTGGAGGTGGTGGGTTGGGTGGCGGTGGTGGTTCTGGTGGTGGGTTCGGTGGTGGAGCCGGTGGAGGAGCTGGAGCTGGAGGAGGGCTCGGAGGCGGCGGCGGAGGTGGATTTGGTGGTGGTGGCGGTTCCGGCGGAGGGATTGGTGGTGGATCAGGTGGAGGGTTTGGTGGTGGAGCCGGTGGAGGATCCGGCGGCGGCGGCTGTGGAGGCCGGCGTCGGCGGCGGTGGGCTAGGTGGCGGTGGAGGAGGTGGGTTCGGAGGCGGAGGTGGTGGGGGTGCAGGTGGAGGAGTTGGTGGAGGCTTCGGAAGCGGCGGCGGGGCAGGCGGCGGGGTAGGTAGTGGTGGAGGTTTGGGTGGAGGTGGAGGCGGCGGCGCCGGTGGCGGTGGCGGTATTGGAGGTGAACTGCCGTAGAAGGAAGACGTGATCTAATATGTATTAAGTATCAATAATTGACTATAAGCAATATTGATTTGAGATTATGTAGACTTTTGAATATCAGTCCACATATATGTGTGGTTCATTGTCCTATTTAGCCTGCTTTGTTCTCTAATAATTATGTTGGAATAATAATGAAAAGAAATATTAATTACGTGTATTTCTAAATTACAATCTTTTCACAACGAATTGTGGCATGAGAAAGGGCAACACGTATCGACAGAGCCACTCTCCTATTGAAGCAATTATGAGATACTCTGTGTATTTAAAAAAAATGAAAAAAATGAAAATATAATTCAATTATAGAGAAAAAAATAAAAAAAAATCAACATAATTAAGAAATTTACATATGTTTATTTAGGCTCGTTTGGGACGGTTTTCTTATTGCTTCTTAAAACAACTATTTAGTATAAAAATTTGAATTTTTAGCATCAATAAAAAAGTCAGTCTTAAATGAAGTCTTAATTGTTTCATATGACTTAGTTTGAGATAGTTTTCTTTTTGCTTTCTAAAGTAATTTTTTAGCACAAAATTTTTTTGAATTAAAAATTAATTGTTGTACTAAAAAAATACTTTAGAAAGTAGTAAGAAAGCTATTCAAACCGAGAACTATATCATGTCATCATTATTACGTATTTTATTATGGTTTGAGTGAGAATTAATTTTTTATAATTAATGATGAGGGTAGAACCAGCTTTTCTTTTAAGAGTAAGCTAAACACAAGTGAAGCATGCGTAACATTAGGGGAGAAATAGGAAAAAAAATTCTTATTTTTTAGGCAAATGTATTTATTGAAGAGGCAAAATAGAAAAAAAAGATATTCTATTAAGAGAAGAAATATCCAAGTTGGCCAGTTGCTCTTCTTGAGCTCTCCCTAAGGCTTTGTTTGGGGTGGCTTTTTTATTGCTTCTTAAAGCAACTTTTTAGTTCAAAAAGTAAAAATTTTGTACTAAGAAGTTGCTTCATAAAGCAGTAAGAAAGCCGTCCTAAACGAAGCTTAAGTCTGCCCCTAATTATTGATATTATTTTAGGAACAGGTGGAGGGTATGGAAGTGGATCAGGTGGAGGGTATGGTGGTGGTTCCAGCGGAGGGATTGGTGGTGGATCAGGTGGAGGGTATGGTGGTGGAGCCGGTGGTGGAGCCGGTGGAGGATCCGGCGACGGCGGTGGGCTAGGTGGTGGCGGGGGAGGTGGGTTCGGAGGCGGAGGTGGTGAGGGCGTAGGTGGAGGAGCTGGTGGAGGCTCTGGAAGCGGTGGCGGGGCAGGCGGCAGTCTAGATAGTGGTGGAGGTTTTGTGGGGGTGGAGGAGGCGGCGCCGGTGGCGGTGGCGGTGTTGGAGGTGGACTGCCGTAGAAGGAAGGCATGATATAATACGTATTAAGTATCAATAATTGACTATAAACAATATTAATTTGAGATTCTGTAGACTTTTGAATATCAGTTCACATATATGTGTAGTTCATTATCCTATTTAGCCTGCTTTGTTCTCTAATAATTATGTTGAATAATAATGAAAATAAATATTAATTATGTGTATTTCAAAGGTTCATTTGGAATGATTTTTTTATTGTTTTTTGAAATAATTTTTTAGTAAAAAATAATTTTTACTAAGAAATTTTATTACATATTTTATTATGATTTGAGTGAGAATAAACACGAGTGAAGCATGGTAACATTCGGGGAGAAATAGGACAAAAAAATTTAAAATTTAGGCAAATGTATTTATTGAAGGGGCAAAATAGAAAAATGATTATTCTATTAAGAAAAGAAATATCAAAGTTGGCCATTTGCTCTTCCTGAGCTCTCCTCAGTCCACCCCTAATTATTGATATTATTTTAGGAGGGCATAGATTTCAACATTTATTGGAGTTAAAAGAGATATCTAATATAACATTTTCATTACTCATTCTAAAAAAATAATAATAATAAAAAAAATTACTCTTACATATTTTCAATAAATAATATGTAAATATAGGTTTTTTTGTTCATGACTCATGAGCTCTGCCTTCACCTTGTAAATTTATATGACAAATTGACCGGTAACTAATACTTCGTTTGGGACGGCTTTCTAAGAATTTTTGTACTAAAATATCATTTTAAGAGCAATAAAAATGTTGTCCCAAACGAAGCCTAAATCTATCCTAACAAAATGATTTTATTTTGGCATGACAAAATTGAGTAAATTTTCTTAAAGATTTGATGCGCTTTTCGGTGGACCACCCATTTAATGCTCACATGCACCAACTACTTAAATTTCTTGATTAGTTCGTCAATTTATTCTTTATATTCAATAATTTTATTGGCACATAGGATTTTATTTGGGATGACAACAATTATAAAATTATTATGAGGAAAGCAACTTAACTATTTTGATTGTAAAAACAGCTTTTCATCATATATTTTTGAGAAAATAATGAGAGAGCAATTATAAAATAAAATTATGATTGTTATACGAAAAATAAAACTAAGAGAAAGTTGTCTCAAAGAGGCCTTCAGTACACCTCTTTGTATGAGCTGAACATTAATCATATAACTAAGCAATTAATCAATTGAAGTAAGGCTTAGGAGCCACTTAAAAACTTCTCTAATTATCACCAAATTATTATTTATAACTATTTTTCTTCATTTTATTTAGCAGTTCTTTCTAATATTTATGAATTTAATAATTGCTATTTTAAAATTGATTAAAATAAGGTCCTCATTATTAATGTTGAAAAGATTTTTATTAGACTTATGAAGTAATCACTTGCTATTGATTTGCTAAAACTAAGGTTTCATTTGGGACGGTTTTCTTATTGTTTCTTAAAATATTTTTTTAGTACTAAAAAATTATTTTAAAAAGCAGCAAGAAAGCTAGTTGTACGTCCTAAATGAAGCCTAAGTTTAGTGGCACTTTAATCAATGGAATAAAAAATTTTATTGTCAACGGTAAGATCTGAAATTAGTAGTTTTCAAAATAATTAATTGCAATATTAAATAGATATTACTCTTTTTGGATCATGTGAGTAACATGCCATCATATCTAATAAAAAAGGTTGGTCACCATTTCGTTTATGAAAGCTCATAATAACTACAATGTACTAAATACTTACCCCTTGCCACAATTATTTAGGCTACACAATTGTTCTTCATAATATTAAGAAAATTAGTTAAGCATATTTAGGCTACTACTGCATATTGTGATGCCGTTGATCATTATGATCGATGGATTACATTACAGAAAAATCGTCCATTACCGACAGACTATTTTCCAACGGCTTTTCGATGGATAAAGATGAAATATTTCCGACCAATTTTTAGGAAGATTTTCTGTCGGATTTCCGGCGACGTTCGGCTAATTTTGCGACATATTTTCAGCTCGATTTTAATAATTTTTGAAAAAAGATTATATATTCGTAATTTCATTAATTGGTAATTTTATAGCATATTTTAATTAATTGTTAATTTAATAACTTTAAATAATTAAAATTTAGTTATTAAAATAATAATTAGTTTATTAATGTAGATTGCGATTCAATCTTAATTAGCTTCACTAAAAAAGATAATTGACTCTTCAACAGTATTCACCCTTAAGATATTGGATGCAGATTACCTCCTTTTGATACACTTCTACATTATATACGATTATGAAGCTCTTCAATGAATCTATTGGCTACTGCCTCATTCACAATAGGTCACATGAATTTTTTAGCAACTTTTGTGCACCGACAAACTAAGTGATGAGCATCCTGGTGAACTCAGCAAATCAAGAGATCACAGTTAATAGAAACCACCTCTCTCTCTCTATCAATCTTATTCTACGACACTAGGAAAATCGATCACTATCAGCGGATTTTTGGCAGACTATGTTCCAAAGGATTATGGTGAAATATTTCCTATAATTTTTCCACCATTTTTCATGAGAGTTTCCGGCGCATATTTTATTCCTGGGGAATTTCAGAGCATATTTTCCGAAGGATTTTCCGGCGGATTTTAATGATTCCGATGGATTTTCCGTCGAATTTTAATAATTTTCAGCAAATTTTAATAATTACTGAAAAATTGTATATTTGTAATTTAATTAGTTAATAAACATATGGCTTATTTTAATTAATTTGTAAATTAATAATGTATTTAAATTCATTTAATAACTTAGTTTAATTAATATTTAATTTAAAACTTATTTTATTTTTTAATTAAAATTCTAAATTTTAATTAATTATTAACTTTATTTTTTTATTGAAATTTGCTTTTTAAATAATTAAAATAAGTTATTAAATTAATAATTAATTAATTCTTAATTTTTTAACTTCTTTAATTATTTATTTATTTAATAGCTTACTTTAATTATTTATTCATTTTAAATTTTATTTTATTTTATTTTATATTTAATTTATTGTATTAATATATTTTAAATATAAAAGAGTATGTTTTATAATAGGTTTTCCTTCACATCAAAGTGGTGTGAAGTAAATTCCAGGTCATACGTCTGAGTCTTATGGTCGTCACCGCACGTGGTCATATCGGCGGGCTTATTCCGCCAAAAAATTTATCAGTAATACGTGATTTTCATGTAGTGTAAGTTGTCCCTACATCCTAGAGCTAACAAATCTCTCATGCCAAGGCCAAACACCCAAGTACTCCTTCAAACCAAGTCTCCATACAACTTGCTCTCCCACACTTTTTCTATCTCTATTTACTTTCATGGAGGAGATGATCTCCTGGCCTATCTTACTCTCTTTATGGTCTCCATCTCTATGTGAATGTGAATTTTATCTCTTTTAAAAACATGTAGTTGCATCTACCTTCTCTCACACTTAACATGCTCTTCCACCAACCTCTATTCACAAAGCTACTGTCCACCATGAGCTTCCCCTATTAATAAGACACAATCCAACAACCTTTATTAATTATGTTTTTTTTTTTCTCTTCTCTTGCTTTTATATATATATATATATA